AATCACGGAGCTGATGTCTTTGTCGAATACTGTATTGTGGATTGATTTATGATTACTTCCAATATGTATTAGCTTCCTAATTAGGAGTCGGCATTTACATGAGCAATGTGAAAGGTCATAATTAGCTGGAATCAAATAGCGTTTTAACGAGTGTCATTTTGACGAATTTGTCGTGCCTGGCTAAGAAAACATTATCGTTCAATGCATGGAAACCAGTTGCTTGACGGAACACTCTTGTTAATTCTCCCATGTGACAGATACGACAGGTGTTATATTTAAATTGTTATGTGATGAATGTAGTAGGGTCAAAGGTTATGCGATGCATGCGACAGCTGCCACGAACTTTCGTTGATGAACTATGATACGATTTTATAACATCATGTTCCTCTGTATTTGTGCACTGTATTATTATCGATTTGGTTTTATGTTTGTTGTGAAACTTGATAAAATTGATGCCTTAACCTTGAATTACCCATCAAATTATATGAGTTAAATGATTGATGACAATGAATCCTAAAGTCTGGCCTAGGTCTAAAAAGTAAAAGTAAAAGGCCTTCCAACCAACCCTGATTTCTAAACGTCGCTGCAACCATGGAGGTATAATGGTATATACATGGTATATAGAGGTATATACCTTCATGCTGCAACAGAGCACATTTTCGCCTCATTTGCATTGAGAATACAAAGTGCTGTAATGCTGATATTCAAATACAGAGGATGCGACGATATTGAATCTTAAACATTGAAGATATTGACGTAATGAGAATATACAACGTTAATTTGTATATCTAGTTCTTAGTTATACGTCATTCAAACATACCGCCTACTCAAAACCATTTTGCTCCAAGCGTTTAATGTACGTATGAATTCAAAATTAGCTGTGATTATGAGGAACATACTAAACAATCATTGTAGATTTATTTGCAGAGACGTCACTTTTTAACCAAAGGCTGATCCCTCCAGCGTACCCTAGGTTGTTGATATTCAGGGGCCCTCTTATGGAATTTAAATAACGAGATGTTCGATCAGCTACGAGGCTTAGGGAGTGGGGATGTGTTTTATTAGTGAGAAAAAAAAATCTTATTCTGTCACAGGATTTGAACCTAGGACCATGGGATTGGAAGGCAAGCATCTAACCACCAAGCTACATTTCCACTACAAATTGAACTTAATGGCGGCGTAGCGCATTTGAACTTTCTACAGTAGTGTTACTAAACAGGACGCTACCGGTATGTTTTATTTATTTTTTCACCAAGGATTATAAATTCAATTACAAACTGAGTGGTACGACCATCGGCCGACATATCCATTTTCATTCTCCTTGACGATGCGACATCGTCTGCTGACTATCGGTGGCCGTCTGAGTTTACGCACCCCTCGTCACTTTACTCATAATATTCATTCTTATTCCACCCGTCAGGCTTCTTCAATTTATATTCCTTTTTCCAGACTAACTAAAAGACAAAACACTGTCTCTTACTATGGCCCCATAAGTACTGCCTTTCCTTGCCGAAATCCATTAAATCTGCTACTTACCTCAACCAATTTAAAACTAAGCTAAAAAGTCAGATAATCGAAAAATACAGCTCTGTTCTTTGTTCTTAATTATTCATACCTAATTTATGAAGGTTGTTATTGTTTGTTATTTAAGATTTGTAATTATTTAATATTTAAGGTTAGTCCGGGGCCTTATTACAGGCCTTGGCCTCCTTGGTTCTCGGCAATTGTTAAGTGAAATAAAAGTGAAGCTGCGTTCTCCGTTTGAACGCGCTTTTTTCACACTCTTATATACCCTATTTATTAGTCAGGGTTTTCACGGAATTAGCATTGCACGATATACGCAATATAATGTTTCATTAGTTTGAACCATAGCTTCGTAATCGATTTTCTTTATAATGATGATTATGAATAGCAAATCCCTCTATCAGAGTACGCTTACAATGGTAAACGAGATAAATGTCGACGTTAGGTTACTCAAAATAGATTATGCGTTTACAGAATAGAATTGCTTACTTTTTTACATTATTCGTATCGATATATCTAAAACGAAGGTGTGTAGGAAGGAACTTTAAATGGCCAAGTCTAAGGCTGTGTTCACACACACGGCGTAAGACTGTCGTGGCTTACGCCACGCGTAAGCTAGTCCACGGATTAAAATTCCTCCGTTTGAACGCGCTTTTTTTCACACTCTTATATACCCTATTTATTAGTCAGGGTTTTCACGGAATTAGCATTGCACGATATACGCAATATAATGTTTCATTAGTTTGAACCATAGCTTCGTAATCGATTTTCTTTATAATGATGATTATGAATAGCAAATCCCTCTATCAGAGTACGCTTACAATGGTAAACGAGATAAATGTCGACGTTAGGTTACTCAAAATAGATTATGCGTTTACAGAATAGAATTGCTTACTTTTTTACATTATTCGTATCGATATATCTAAAACGAAGGTGTGTAGGGAGGAACTTTAAATGGCCAAGTCTAAGTCTTGAGTTGCACTTAGTCCCTTCAACCAAGAATCACCACGCGAAACACAAACACGACACATGGACGAGTCTGCAAACGTACGGTACTGTGAGGCTACACAACTGCACATACGGTAAATGACTAGAAACAACCACTCCACTCTATTATTGAGTCCCCTCTATAAATAATATCTTCATAGTCATCGTGGCCACCACCACCATCATCTTTATCATCCATCATCACCATAGTTAAGCCCTTACAATTGTAAGGGCTTAATTTGTTTTTACATGTATTCCCATAAGCTGACGTCATGACAAATGAATTTGCTATCTCAATATACAGTATTAAGGGCTACTATTTATAGCGGCCATAAATTTTGCATGTTAATAACAATGGCGGAACCAGGAATTGAAAGTAGAGGGTGCCTGAGAAGGCATTTTCACAGATGGAGGATCTATATGGTTGGAGCTGAGGTAAAAAAAAATTGTGATTACGGCACCTCAGATGACCGGAAATTGCATTCTAAGACTTAAAATTATTTTCTTTATATATCTATTTTTTAACATTTCGAAAAATTTCGGAGGGGGTGCAGGTCCCCCCCCCCACTTGAATCCGCCACTTAATAATATAAACATCTTTAATGTCCATTTTTCTCACTGGCTGCGATGCAGAGTGTATATCCAGTCAGAGCACGTACGCCGACCGTTAAGCCATACGCGAAAATATATGAAATCAATTCGTCCGCTTGTGATATCTAAGAATTGGTGCCTGAATGTTTAGATAAACACGTTGTTATTTATGGAAGTCTCATTAAGGGGCATAGGGAGTGAAGTTGTTTTTGATCGTGAGTAATAAGAAGCATGTTACTTGAGAGGATTTGAACCGAGAGGAACCAGGCTAGAATTTTAAAGAAAACTAAAGCTCAACTCGAAGATAGCTTTGGACGGACACGTACAGTATAACGTAATCTGTATTAAATTATCATTAGTGATAGTCGCATTATAATTGTTTAGATAATGTATACAATAAACTTTGAAACACAGGCCTATAATACAAATTCTAATTAAAATCTATAATAACTTCTACTGCAGTCGACGTAACGGAATCATTTCACATGGTAAGCCTATTAGACCTTTAGCTATTAGTTATTTTTCACATCAAATGCCAAATTTGCATGTAATATATATATATATATATATATATATATATATATATAACATATTAATAAATGGAACGTAGGACGGTAGCATGGAAAATAGTATTGTACTACAAAGAGATAAAAGCAACAGAATATACGACATACGACTTTACGACAGAATAATGCATAAGGAGACGATGTGTTTCATTGATATGATGATATAATAACATCATATTGATTAAATACGCACAGCCATGGCATTATGCATACACATATAGAAACACGAACTGGAATGATAGGTTAATTATGCCTATAAAAGTAGAAAAAACTAAATAATATCTCAAGACAAATGATAATGTGAAGTATTTTATGCAAAAAAAGGCTAAAATTCTAATTCTAAAAAATTATAATAATTATTATTGTCATCGTATTTTACGAATTTCTTTATTTTATTAATATGAACAAGAAACGGTTACAGTTTTTAAAGAGGCACACAAGTTGCACAATCTGAATTACACGTAGTTAACATTTCATACAGCAACTGTTGAAATATGAAAGCAAAGAGTTAATTAAGCGATATAGGAAATAGGAAATACGAGAACTAAATATTATTTTGTTCTCGTATTTATTGTTTACTGGCTGAACGCATGCATCACGAGAGATTTTTCTTTCACAAGAAGTCCATGCCTATACTGGCAACACGTATGCCTATGGTATACTCACGTATGCCTAATACACATAGCCATTCATAACGTTTGCCCGTTGCTTTGAACATGGAGATATTAGTATAATAGTTCCATGGTTTTAACACGCTATACTTGTTGCATCAATCAATGTCTTTTGATTAAGTACGTTAGAATTGAAATTAACTGCGTGGAAGTACGAGTACTTTGTGTACAGATAAAAGTCTTTGGTGTGACGTCCGCCCGCGTAACCGTCTGTGGACGTCGATGATATGCACGCTCAGATACGGCCGACCCTTTGTGAGGGATGGATGACGCTCTAGAAAACTTGCCCTGTTTGACCATTTGTCTTCATTAGGAATGATGTGGGACTAAGCGGAACATAATAGGAATTTTCTTTTGTTGGGGAATGGGGTTAAGTAAAGCAGGAATTTTTTACCCGGTGGTCAAATAAATTACAGATTTTAATTCGGAGGTTTGGGATTCACATGCTACAGAAATCAATGTGACACACTATACTTTTCTCTCCTAGAAGAATTACCGCAATAAGTGAAAATGTTTTGGCCTATAAATAATAACATAAGCATCAGTTATTAATGTATCCGTGATCTCTTACTCCTATGGTACAGACACTGAGATACATAAATCTAAACGACACGTATTATGCTATCAAGGTACTATACAAATACTATTCTGTTTTACTTACTTTTTGGGTGGAATTCCAAAGAAAGAGTCGGCTGCACAAAGACAGTGATATAAAACGCTAATACAAGGAGTGAAATCATCATATTGGCCAGTCTGTATGGCTCATCTGTGTAACACATATAATATACAACAGATGCCGACGTCAAGAGATGAGAATATATTTTGATTTGTAGGCTGACTTAAGTGATATTCGCAGTCTTAATGGTATATTGTTATACCACCCAGCATAGAACGAAAGTCGCGTATGCTTAACGATGTACCGACGGGCAGATATTTATCAGACACATGGTATCCGAGCTTAACTATAACCACTGAGCTAACAACGGTTGTTCTCTTGATTTGTGAGTTGTCAGCCCTTGCGAGTTATGGAATGAAACTGACGTTAAAATGAAACAACCGCAATGTGATACGGCTAGACGACGTACCACGCGTAATTCGGTGGGACACGGGTGAATGGACGGCCTGTCGTTTGTCAGTCACACGCGTGTCCACGAGCCACGCTCCGTTAGAAACCCGATAACTTGCACAGCAGTCTCTAGTGTATCCGCAAACCTGTCACCTTATCCAGCGATAGAGCATACAATATGGAGGTAATATTTTTCCATATTAACCGATCTACCCGCATCATTCAGTATGAGCCGTTAATTACCTGTCTGTGTATACTGTGTCTCATGACGCGTTAGCTATTGTGTATATTCCTTGAAAACTCGATCGTTTCTAAATTCAATTTAATTGCAATTCGTTAATACATTGCAATAAAGGAAGGACAATAGTCAGGAATAGGAAGATTAGGTATACCCTTCAAACATAATAAGACAGAATCATGTTTGGAATTACGTCTCGTTTTAATGTCATTCAGTGTGGCTCCCTCGCGAATTGGCGACATACCGGTAGTTAATTTTGGGCCCGCGTTCACTGTTAAAGTCTGTTCAGTGGAAACATTCACAGAGCTGATATCTGAGATTAGTTGTGACACATAGAGCATGGGTGCTCCTTTACCTAGTGCGAGGGCCAGGGGAGTTATAGTCACTTTGTAATCTTTGTAGATTTACCAATTTCAATCTCATATCCAAATGATTTCACACTTGACAGTGAATTTTCGGCTGCTGTTGGGGAGGGGGAGCGCACCTTTTTGCCATCACCTGGATCCGTCACTGCTATTAATTAAAGTCAATTATATCAATACAATTATTATGAAATGTTAAATGTGGTAGACTCATAAATGTAAATGTTTAAATACACTATACCATGTTATTGAAATTGTTAAACCATAGGCTTATTACTTAGGTAAATTCTTTTTCTCCATCTGGTTCATTTTGGAAAATTGGAAATTAAGAGTCAATATCAATACAATTATTATGAAATGTTTAATGTAAGTGGTAGACACATAAATGTAAATGTTTAAATACACTATACCATGATATTGAAATTGTTAAACCATATTACTCAGGTAAATTCTTTTGCTCCATCTGGTTCATTTGTTAGTGCTTGAAAACCTTACATTTAACACACTGTCGCCTTGTGGGACCTTAGCAACAATATCCAAGGGGCGGGGCTTAGCGGAAAGTTCCATTGTTTTGTTATTAAACTATGCGCCACTCTTGTCTCACCGGCTAAACCCTCTCCCACCTAGGTTTATTTCACCTAAGAGTCGTACGATTTCTACGAGTTAAAACTCGTGATCTTTGGAAAGGACCTATACGAGCTTATTACGTGATAGCTACGAGTGAGGTACGACTTTACGGAGTTGGTTACGAGTTATGTACGAATTATGCCGAGCAGAGCACCGAGTTAACTACGAGATTATTACGAGCGTAACAAGTTTGTACCGAATTAGATACGAGTTAGGTACGAGCCAACTCGGTGCGCTCGTACTTACTCGTATACTTGTTTTTGGGTGCTCGCATCAAACTCGTAGATGACAAAACCGCCGACGAGTATCCAGAGTAGTGTACGAGCTAGGTAAGAGTACCCCGAATACTCTACGAGCTACCTACGAGTTCTTCGAGTTTACTACGAGTTATCTACTCGTGGCGATAATTTTGAACATGTTCAAAATGAGCGCCACGAGTTCAGAGCTGCTACGAGTAGGTAAGAGTCCTCTCCGAGCTTTCCGAATCGTCCTACGAGTTTTTGCCGAGTTTGCCGAGTTAGCAACTCGGCATTCTCTTGTAACTCGTATGCTGAAAAAAACCCTAGTGGGAGAGGGGCT